TTCACGAAATTTAAACTACTTACTAAGAAAATATCAAACATACAAATTGTTCAATAGTCTTGCGAAAGAAGCAGTTCTCGCTTAAAGAATCTTTAGAAAAAAAAGTAAAAAAATTCTAAAGAAAAAAAGGACAAAAAATTTTAAATCTCACATCGATATTTAATTTTATACTAATATTTTTAATGTAACACTTCATTTATAAAGATTTTATTTTGTGAAACATTTATACATAAAAGTACAATGATTATACGGCTTCTTTATTCTATTGTTTCATCTTTGCATGATTTTCGTTTATAAAATATTTGTGCCTCTGGATATTTTTTCTGGAAGCTTTATGCAATGTGTGTAACCTAAATCTGTTAACGTACAAGTATTAGAGTAACGGAATAAGCATATGTAATTTGATAAAAATACGTTTCTTACATGAATTTTTAATTACATATTTTATCATACTACAAATAAAAAAATCATTCTTGCGCGACGTGATTCTAACAATTTACCGACATGCACAAAATGATGACTTTACCGGCAGTTGAAGTTTCTTGACTACGTAATTCTGGCGTTTAACGCGAGTGCAGATGGCGATACTATAAACAGCAAAGAAAGATGGCTGCATGAGTGAAACGCGAGGCGCGAAATATTGCATTTCGTATATCGTTCTTTGCGAAAAAAATGTGCGAAAGAGTTGTACACTTCACGATTAATAGTTCGGTGTTGATGAATACAAATCGACGCAAGTATAATTTGTCGTGCATTGCATATTTCTTCAAATTCTGTACATGCATCGTTTTCGAATCGTCCTGATCGCACGTTCCGATAATACAATGATCCAAAAAAAAATCGTCGAATATATTTCGTACGATTCGAATCGTGCACAGTATCGACTTTTATTTATTTGAAGCGCGATATATTTTTGTGCGGACATTTATCGAAAGGAATGCACGTGTTTCTCCAAATTGAGATGAGATAAGATTGCAGAATATCGAAGCTTTATGCAATGTATGTGTGTCCTAAATCTAAAGGAGGACATCTGGAAAAATATCGGACAGCCAGAGAGCAGTGAGAGAGCCTGAGCAGCCAGAGAGATATGCGGTGAGTAATTTTTAATTACATATTTTGTTATACTACAAATAAAAAAATTATGCTTGCGCGACGTGATTCTAAAACAATTTACCGACATGCACAAAATGTGACTTTACCGGCACTCGAAAAGTATCTTGACTATGTAATTCTGGCGTTTAACGCGAATGCAGATAGCGATACTAAACAGTAAAGAAAGATGGCCGCATGAGTGAAACGCGAGGCGCGAAATATTGCATTTCGTACATCGTTCTTTGCGAAAAAAATGTATGAAAGTGTTGTACATATTCGCGATTAACAGTTTGGTATTGATGAATACTAATCAACGTAAGTATAATTTGTCGTGCATTGGATATCTCTTCAAACTCTGTATATGAATCGCTCTCAGTCTTTTAAAATGCAAAACTAAATATTATAAGATTTGACTTTGGAAAAGCGCGATAAAACAATCGAATCATTCGTAATTCATATCATTAGCATAATATACCATGAATTTTCTACGTTATATATTGAATCGAAATTACGCGAAAGAGGAAAAAAAGAACAAGCCTATGAATAAACATTTCCATCCTTTACTAAAAGAAAAAGAAATTAAAAATATCTCTCAATTTTTTCTCTTTCTTCGGGCAAGTCTACATATATGACCAATATGATTAATTGATTCTATCTTTATATATTTATCATTATGTGCTTTCAGAAATCAAAGTTGCGCGAACGTTGAGCACAGGAATGGCCATGCGCAGAAACGAATGCACAGTGGTTCGGCCGCCATGTTGGCGCGTGCTGCGACGTCACAGCTACGTCACAGCTACGTCATACGCGTCATACGGCCGCCATGTTGGCGCGTGATCGGAGTCATACGCAGTTACACGGATCGTCGTACGTCCGCATTTTTCGCATCTTTTAACCGTTTTTAAACGAATATCGCGAGTGGACGAGCGTCGAGAGTGTCCAAGGATGATCGCGCGACTTTTATAGTGTGTCGATGGAAACGCGCGACAGCGATTTTTGACGATATTCAGTGATGGCGTCATTGCGAAGATGGAGCGAAATTGCGTCGCGTTATTCGGGCCCTTGATGATGATTATCGGATGCCAGCGAGTATCGGGAGTGCCGAATAAAGTGTCGCGCGTTCGCGTTGATGATATCGTGTGGATTTGTGTGCATCAAGATCGGAATGGGACGTCCCGAGGCGAGCGAACTGTTTCGAGGAGGAGCGGCCTGTGGAACAGCCGGTGAGTAGATTTGATTTATCATATTTGCGAGATAATTCGTGCTCATTCGATGCTTATACAGCATCGCGATGTCCCGAATTACATTCGGACAAATCGACATCATAATTCGATTCGGTACAATTCAAATAAAGTCGATCGCGTGAAGATGATTAGACTAGAAGCGATTTCAAATTTATTTTGTACGCGCGCGCAGTACTGTACAGCCTATCTCGTAGGGCTGCCAACTGTTAAACGATAAATTTGTTTGATCTAACCTAACCTAACCTAACCTAATCTCTCAGTGTCTATGGATATCGAATGTAAATACAAGCGTATGCTGCCTGGATTGTATCATGCTTTCAAAAATAATATTTAATTATTTCATTAGTGTATTACATTTTATTACGTAGTATATTATTCGCATTAAATGTGCGACGTACAGTTTTACACATTTTAATGAGGAGCATATAATATAATTGGTTAGATTAAATTAAAACAAGCTGCTGTGATTTATTTAACGTAATAGGATTAATTTGACAAATGTGCAGCTATTGAAGTTACATGATATTTGTGGACACATTTTTAAAGTAATCATGAGTGTCTTATCTCATCTCGATTATATGAAATTAAAATATAAAATATTTATGTATTCCACATTAACGTTATTCATTACAAGTACTATATTACTACATTACAATACTTTTCTTATATCTCAATCATATTAACCATTTATTTCATCGATGAAGCTTTTCATATATCGCAGACAATATGATACTGTGTGTGGAAGTTTGGAAACACAGGTAATACATGGCACAAAAATAATTTGCTCTCAAGTATTGTGCGCATTTCTCAAAAATAAATCAAATTAAATTATTTTCAGAATCCAAAAATCGCTACATTGCCAGGATTGTATCTTATTATAACTGCGATATTATCACCTTTTAATATGTGTGCGCAGTGTTACATACATAAAATATATAAATTTATTTGAAACGTACTGAAATCTTTATCTTATTTATAATATTCATGATATTATAAAAGAAAATTGCAACTCTAATGAAACAGAGCGGTGGAATAATTGGTTGATACTTATGCTGGTCTACAATATTTACCCTTTTTTCACCATTAGACTTTTGATGCTTTTTTTATTATACAGATGTTATCTGTAAATATAGTACTCGTAATGTTGTTTCTGTATCACTGTAAGCATACAAAAATGATAGCATTTGCAGGTAATTATGTTATACTTATATATCATAAGAAAGAGAAAATAAAATTAAAGTTGAATACTGAATGTGCCCTAAAGTAAATCTCATCTAAATAAATAAATGCATAAATGTGCGCTCCACATTCCTCATGAAAAAAATACAAATATTAATCTTTTTGTATTATTTTTAAATTTGTTTTTTATTCTTTTAAATTCTCTAGATGCACTTCTCATTTCTGCTCTCTTTCTTTCCAACTACTAAATATACTAATCTATCATTTTTAATATAGATCTGTCATTTTTAGTGTACATTATTGCAGTAAGTGGAATAAAGAGCAAATCTTTTGGCACATTTAAAATGTACAGAAAAGTCAGTTTTATCTGATGCATTTTATTTAATAGAAATATAAAAAAATCTGAAAAAATTCATACGTCTTTTTAATCTTATTCTTTCTAAATAAAAATTAGAATAATAAATTTGCAAAATAATTTGCTTTAATATATTTTTATTGCAAATATATGAAGTAAAATGCTCAAGGTGCATCACTATGAAAACATCGATAGAATAAAAAATAGATCGTATACGAAAAAATTAAAATATTTACACTACATATTTGATATAGCATATTTGATATATTAATTTGTTTCATGATATATTGCAATAATTAAAGTATGATTACTGATATAATCTGCCATGAGACTACAGAAAAAGCCAGCTTTAATTCTTTATTTTGTTCAGTATTTTTAATAATATGATAATTAAATTAAAGTTCTATGAAAATATGCTTGAAATACTAAATAAAAAAGATTGTTTCTTATGTACAACCTTATAAAGTTTAAGTAAACAAAAAATCATTGTTAATAATATACATATATAAATTGATAATTAAATAAAACAATTAATTAATTAATCGACACAATCCACGTTTTTTTTAGCTTTATGTCTAACATATATATATATATATATATATATATATATATATATATATATGTATATAATTTTTATAAATAAAAAATGTTTCTTTCTAATATAAATTAAATAAAAAGTATAATATGCCTTTAAATACTTTATATTCACACTTATTGCAATAAACCAATAAAGAATGCTTTTACATTCCTCCTTGTACTTTGGCATACATATCCTTTATGCCAATTATCTCGCAACATGCTTTTATCGCATGATGACAAACAAGCCCATTATCCTTCATGAATTTTCTTTACAAATATTTTTATATTCTCAAACTGTGTAAAGAAATCATGTAACACTGAAAAATACAAAGTGATATTAAAAGAGAAGAAATAAATTTTATATTATATAGTATTGACAAGTATTTTCTTACCAGTGTGTTCCTTATATGTAGGAATATACATTAATCTTTGACCAGACCTATTTTTAATCGTCTTTAGGGATGCTTTGGCTTTTGATAACGCAAATCCAGCCAATCTATTTCCATTCCCAATTACTATAAATAAATTGATTCTAGTCTTACTTGCTAAATTACATACTGGTCATACAAGTTATCGTTTTGTTTTCCAAAATCCAGGTTTCAAAACTTTCAAATGTATCTGCAGAAAACAAAGATATTAATTATATAAGATTCTAATATTTAGAACTGAAACATCAAAAAAAAAAAATTGAAAATAGACATCGTATCACATGATTTTTGTATGTATGTAATTTAATCATTATAATCCAATAATAGCATAAATATTAACCTTTTCCAATAAGATCTGATTCAATGCTTCTGCCATCCATTGTAACACTTCTCCAACCACATTCCAATGGCGATAATTTTATTTGCATTGGTCTGGTCTGATTTTGTGGTAATTCCATAAGTTTTTGCTTTCTTTCAAGATTTAAAAGCAGTTTTAGCTGTTGAATTAATTCTTTTCCTCTAAACACAGAAGTGTTCAGACCAGGAAATTGTATCGGAATTTTTCCCATGCCAATAATTTGTTCCTTATTTAGGTCTCTCTTTTCACTACTCTTCTTGTTCTACCTCTGCGTCTTCCTGTATGATACTTGTCACACCCTTTCATAATTCATCTTCAGGTCCTATAGAACAAAAGCACAGTGAAATACAACTATTTTCTACTGTAAATATAAACTATTATCAAAATGCTATATCCATAAAAGTTCTACTTACTATTCGCAAAGAACATAGAGTTTCTCACATTATTTAATAAAGTGACTATTTTTAATAAATGTGAATGACTGACAAGCAATAAATTAAACAATATTAAACAATAATATATACCTGAAAAAAATTTCATAATTTTATTAGAATTAAATTGATAAATTAATTTTAAATACATATTATATGTTAATTACATATAATGATTTAGAGACAATGATATATTTCATTTGCGTTACCATTGTTTGAACATTTTTATCAAATTATTTACAACTCTACAAATATGTAGCATACGACAAGCCATTTTTAAAATCTATAAAACAAACAACAAAATTGTTCATAGTTTTCACTCTGTTTTGTCATAGTCTGCTTTTAGGCGATCTCTGAAAGCAATGCATCCTATAAACAAAAAAATATAAACATGAACTACTTAGTCAAATCTACGAATGTTTTCAATGGGTAACATAATTTCGGAGTATATTCCATGCCTCGTACACGAAATGTCGATAACATAAGTAACGCAAAATGTTTGTATATATTAAATAAATTTGTAATATAAATAAGTTTTGTGATCTCTCTCTCTCTATCTATTTATCTATCTATCTATCTATCTATCAAGTATAATTATTAAAATATATTACCCGATATTATATTATATTATATATTAATCACTCATTATCTATCACCACCATTGCCATTATTATATGTAATTTAATATATACTACCGTTTAATTAAAAAAATATTTGCCTCAATTAATTTCAATCAGAAAGAAGAATAAGAAACATCATAGATCACTTGGGTAATTCCTAAAGGCAATACGCCTTCTGAAATAAAAACGTGGACATGAACTACGAAGAATTAATGAATGTTTTCAATAGGTAACATTATTTTGGATTTTTCCGTCAGTAACACAAGTATCGATAATGCAAAACGCTAAATTTTTAATACAAATCTAAAGTTTTGGGTGGTCTTTCTCTCCCTGTATTAATAATATAATTAATTATTAATATATTCCTTGATAAATATATTAATCACACATCATCCATCATCACCATCGCCACCGCCATTTTTACGCGATCTTTATCACAACGGTTCATCATTGAAAATAAATTATAACACAAAAAATATTCTAGTTTATTTTTAAATATTATTTTTAAATATTAAATAATATAAGTATTAAAATTAAAATAAAAAATTGGCTCAAATAATAATAATTAAAAATTAACTAAACAATTGATAACTAAGAGCCAATAAAAAGCGCGATAACTGGAGCACAAGAAAAATCCTTTCTCTTTTAATTATTATTATATTTCAAATTATTAGTATATTTCAAATTACTCGTCACAATACATACAATAAATACGAACGTTTCGGATTATCTTTTAATCTACCTTCAACGTGACATTAATATTATTACACATTCGAAAATATTAGACAATGACATATGAAAAATTATATAAATCAGATGCAGATAGCATTTGTAATATCTGCATGCCGATTATGAAACGATTTATATAATTTCATATTTATTCATATTTATATAATTTTATATGTTATTGTCTATATTTTTTAATGAGTAATATAATGATACGCCGTTAAATTTCTTTTCTAGATGCGATCGCGATCAACACCGAAAATTATTTATTATAACTATATGATTAATTAACTTTTATAAATAACACATAATTAATATCTATATACAAATCGCGACAAAAATTCTCTATCGCATTTAATCGTAATTTATTCATTTAATCAACTAAGAATTATAGTAACAGAAATCTAAAATAATAAATTATTATTTCGATATGAAATCGATTTTTACGAGCAGAAATTATTTCTTTAGTATTTATAGATATTTATAGAGTCAAATACAATATATCTGCGATGCTTTATTTTTCAATCATTGAAATATTTTGAATTGTGAGAACGCACAATAAAATAATTGAATCATGAATCTAAACATAATGAAAGACTCCATACATTAATCTTTTAATAAATAATCCTTTAATTATAAAAATCTATGTAATCTAAAATACTTTTATATACTTAAATATATTCCATATATACATATATGTATATATTAAAATACGTAAAATATTTCGATGACGAACAAACAATAACCGACCTTCTGCCGTAATAGCGCGCTAATGTTTATATGCTATAGTCTTGAAAAATGTTTCGGTACAAAAATAATAATAACACTCAAGCAGTAAAGATCGTAGTGCGAAATATGTTGTATATTCTTATATGTTTATATGCCATAGTCTTGAAAAATGTTTCGGTACAAAAATAATAATAACACGGTCTTTTGGATTAATTTGTTCGGTTCTATTATCATTCGCGCGATGACACTCAAAGAGTAAAGTAGTAGTATAAGACGCTCCGTTAAATTCTTTTCTAGACGCGATCACGATCAATATCGAAAAATTATTTGCTGTATTAAAATATGTAAAATATAATATAATATAATATAATATGATATAATATAATAAAAATACGTATTGTTTACGCCAAGATTGATATTATTATCTGTTTGTCATCGAAATATCCTACGTACGTTAACATATTTATATTACCTTATATTGTAATATAAAATATAATACAATATATTTCGATATGACGAACGAACAATAACACGGCATTCGATTTTGACGTAAACAATAGCGCGCTAGTCGTACAACGTATGGCCTTCGTATTATTGATAAACTCGAGCAATAAAGATCGTAGTGCGAAATACGTCGTATATTCTTAAATTAATTATTAATTAAACGATTATTGTATCATGACTTTCAATTATATTAAACTTTCGACTATAATCGTATTAATATACATGTATTGCATATATATATATCAATAATGAAAACAACAAATTCATTACGCTAATAATTAGTTTTACAAAATGAATTATTTTGAGTTTTATAAAGAAGATTTATAATTATATATCTATTAATTATATATTATATTATATATAAATTATATATAATATAACCTCCCACGGGGTACACCTTGTCGCGGTGGGAGGGCTTAGTACTTGGATGGTGCCTTGAAGTTTATTTTAAATTTTTAATTTAGAATAAATCTCAAGGAGCCTGAAGAGGAAGCTAAGTACCCTTTCGCGTCGTCGGTGCCGTCAACGTGTCGTGGATGGCGGCGTCTCGTTACCGCGTTTTCGCGTTTAGCTTTTTCGCGTCATCGCGTCATCGCGTTTTCGCGTTGGACTTTCTCGCAATCCCAATTTCATTTATATGTCATCGAGTTGTCATCTTCCGACGTCAATTAACTGGGATGTTCATTGAGTCGTTGCTGCAACGATCTTTGTCTCACGCCTGGTGCAACGCGGCATTTAGGTGACGCCGGCGCGCATGCGGATGCCAGTACTGTGTATGTGGGCGCGCGATTTTGAGCTTTTGCTCAAAAGTCCGGCTGATTGAGGTCACGCTCTGCTTCTGGCTCCAGTTCGGTACGGATCGGTTAGGATTCGATCGATTGCTTGGAATCGTCGTTAATGGATCCCTTCTCTTGTTCCGTCTGAGACAGGATATTAGGCGCGGACAAGAGTCGAGTGAACTCCATTCGCGTTGATTCCATCAATCGATAGTTTTCTTCCGTTTCGGACTTAACTCTTGTTCGGAGGTAAGATGCGTTGAATTCCCTACCTGTTGACTCGAAGATGACTCTTGTAAAAGTGAAACGGGATTTTCGCTCGTACCGAAACCGGGAGTGCCGTTTAAAGTATATATATATATTAAATATATACATCGCGCGACAAAACAGAAAATTTTTAATCGTATCGAATAGTGCGGGAGTGCCGTTCAGTATCGCGCGTAAAAGTGCGAAAATAGCGATATAAAAATATCGCTCGTGAGTGCGGGAGTGCCGCTAAAAGTATCGCGCGATTAAGACTGAGAGGAGGAGGAGGCCTAGGAGAGGCATCGAACTTCGGCAGAGCAACCGTCTGGTAAATAGTTTATTTATTTGCAATTATATATATATATATATATATATATATATAAATTAAATATTGAATATATTTATTATAATTTAAATTAATCGTAATTTGATTTTTTTGAATTTAAGTTAATCGTAATTTGATTTTTTTGAATTTAAATTAATCGTAATTTTTATTTTTTTATTCATATGATTTAAATACGAATTTTAAAGAAAAAGATTTTTATATAAAATTTATAATCTTGTAAAGGTTTTATAAAGTTATTCAAGAATTATTAGTAATATTTTATTTTATTAATTTGCTATTATTATATGCGTCGGATATAAAATTCAATGCATATAATAATTTTTAAAATATTAATTATTTTGAACATTATTACAATTTAGATCTTCTATTTGTATGTTATAGAACAACCCAGATGATCTGAGAGGAGGAGCAGGCCTAGGAGAGGCATCCTGCACCAGCGGAACAACCTGATGGTGAATATTATTATTTATATTAATTGTATATAAATGAATTAATTAATTTATTAATTTGATTCATGTGAATGATTTAAACAAGAAAAAATTGGGAACATTTTTGTAATATTTCTTTCTATATAATTCTGTCTAAAGGTTCTACTTGAAAAAATTAATTAATTATAAAATTATTTTATATTTATATATCTATTTATAATTGCGCACATCGGACATAAAATTCAATGAATCCAATAATAAATTTCTTAAAATATTAATTATTTTAAACATTGATGTAATTTGCATTTTATATTTGTATGTTACAGACAACGTAGCTTCAATATCAATTCCGCTGTTGCGCATCAGTGCCGGTAAGTGACAACCTTTTTTATTTTGAAGCAAAGGATTTATAAATGCATGAAGAAATCCATTGCTTCTAACTCTCCGTTGGCGGGACAATACGCGAGTAAAAATTAAAGTGAAAAAGTAAAGGAAAAATATTTTTAATAAAGATAGATGATATTTTTGTTGCAATTGTATGATGGACATACATAAATATTCTAAAATTCTATTATATATCGGTCTTATAAAAAAACAATTTTATAAAAATATAGGTTTTTAATCGATAAATATTTAATCTATAAAATAGAGATATTTCTAACCAATCTGCCAACCGAGAGTTAAAATGCATGCTTTTTAT